CAAGAGCAGCACTAGGAGACAGAGGCAAGGAAAAACTTCCTTTTAAGAGGCAGAAACCTCGAGCAGAACCATGACTCAGGGTGGGCGACCATCTGCCTCGACGGTTGGGGTGAGAGAGAGAGAGAGAGAGAGAGAGAGAGAGAGAGAGAGAGAGAGAGACAGTGTAGATCTTATGTAGAGCAACCGTTCTTTGTTTCAGATCCTCAGAGAGTTCTTTGCCATGAGGTGCCATGTTGAACTTCCAGTGAGCAGTATGAGGGAGTGTGAGAGCGATAACACCAAAATTAACACACCTGCTCCCTGTTCACACCTGAACTGGTAACACTAACGATTAACATGACCGGGGAGGGAAAACAGCTGATTGGGCCCAATGTGGACATTTTCACTGAGGGGTGTCCTCACTTTAGTATCCAGCGGTTTAGACATTAATGGCTGTGTGATGTGTTATTTTGAGGGGACAGCAGATTTACACACTCACTACTTACACTGGAGCAAAGGGTCATTTCTTCAGTGTTGTGGGTCAATGTCACTGGGTCAACACAGTTTAAGCTTGAAACATTGAACTTGCAGGGGCCGATGCCCCTCCCACTTGTTATCAGGGTCACTGACTAATACTTGTACCAAAACGAAAAAAAAAAGGGTGCGACCAACTGAGAAAGCTGCACCAGTGCTCCCAGTGGAAAAGTTAGTCTGGAGCCAAAAGTAAAGTACACATCCACCAGATCCAGATAAAAATATTTCAGACAAACGTAAAGTTTCTTTGATACGAAGATGCAACAAGTCCACTCATTCAAATGCTTTAAGGCGGGGCTAACTTGTCATTGACAGGTCTCTACCATGGCGACCTGTTAATCAGGATAGAGGTGACTCGGATCTGCTGCTCCGTGTAAATTTAACCAGCGCCGCTGCAAAAGCTTATCAGGAGTTGGCTGCTCATTTTTGTGTTTTGTTTAAGCATGTTTGTCGCTAGCCAAAATTAGCATTCCAGCTAATATCACAGTTAATGTGAATTACAGATGCACCTTGCTAACCAAGCTAGCTAGCTCCACCCTCTCGTCCAAATGTGGTCACGTCTGGCACCAAAAACAAAGATGGCGACGGCCAAAATACCAAACCAGAGGTAATCCATATAATCCAACGTGGACACCACGGCGGCTACGTCAGCTTCTTTTACACAGTCTGTGATTTGGACCTTTTGGTAGCTGGAGGACGGTCTCATACTGGCAGGTATAGAACAAGGCGTGCAACGATACGTGCTGAAGCATGAGGCTTTAAAGATGGACTACCGAGATATGAACCGGTGTTAACTTTGGACCAAACCAGTCCACTGTCTGGTCGAGATGACGGAGCTTCTCCTGTAACGTCCTCTGCAGAACCTCTTCTTCAAGCCTGGACCCTCATCGAAGGGTTACCTGCTTCCTTTCTGACTTGGAGAGTTTACAGTCTATGCAGCGCTACCTTATCTGGAAAACACCGATCACCTGATCAATCATTTATCTTGTTTACCCACACACACACACATTCATCTGGTATACAAACTGCAACTCCACCTTCTGAAGGTGTTTATTGTGTCTTCAGGGAGCGGCCGGTTGGTCTACATGATCAGATGGTGTGTGATTGATAACCCTGCACGGAGACAAACCGGTTCTCCAAACAAACCAGTTTGGAAACGTCGTCATTGGACAGTCAGACGGACAGAAACACTGAAGAACTCCTCACCACTAACTTTCTGCAAATGGAGGGTGAAAACACTCTGTGTGTGCGTGTGTGTGTGGTGTGGTGTGTACTCAGTATGTATAATGGATTAGCCCTGAGGGCAGCCCGCTAGCAGGCAGCCAGACCTGAACACACACACACGTACACACATTTATACACACACAGACACACACATATACACACAAGCTATTCCCTGTTTTGGCCCATTAGCTGGAGGGAAGATCTATAATGTATGTCTGAGTGTGTGTGTGTGTGTGTGTGTGTGTGTGTGTGTGTTCAGGTAAGTAACATCCATTAGTAAATTTCTCCTGATGAAAACGGGTAAACATGTGGCGTGCACACACAGTGCTGCTGTTATTGAACATTTCTGTTTTCTGTCTTGTTCTTCCTCTCTCTGTCATCGCTGAAACGATTCATTGATCAATAAATTAATCAACAATATTGAAATAATCATTAACGTCATTCATCAGTCAGCTTTTCTGTCTCAGTGAAGTGAATCTCAGTGAAGCCTCCTCAGACTTGTTGTTTCGACATTTTATGGATTAAATAATAACCGATATCTTGCGAAACTAGTTAATAGATTAATCAATAATGAAATTTATCCTTGTGTCGGTGGTTAGCTTGTTGCTGAGGTGTATTTTTAAAATGAATCCACCCATTGAAAACAGATAAACTGATCATAAAATGAATCATAGCTAGCGTTTAACGCCCTCGGAAATACATAGCCACCGTGTCCTGGTAAACAAACAGCTAGCAGCCAGGTAGCAACATGAAGCTAGCTGAACAACTGTGTAAATATTATGATGAATGTGTTTTTGTTTTTTCAGTCTGGTTTAGTAGAAGATAGAAGAGAGGTTAAATTAGGAGGGTCGTTTTCAGCCTTTTTGATGTTGGATTTATAATTAAATTGATATATCGTAGACGTCTGCGTGTTGTTTATAAACTCTGATAATTAATCCAACACTCTCTGCAGCGGGTCCATGTTGATTCCACATTCAGACTTAAGAGCACATGAACACACACTGAAGTCAGAAGAATGACTTCACAACTCAGGGAATGGGACCATCCGAGGAGCACCTGAATGCACCGTGAGCCGCTGGTTGCAATTCCCAACCGTCACCACTAGATGTCACTACATTTACATTTACTTTTATTCATTTAGCTGACACTTTTATCCAAAGCGACTTACAGTTGCTATATGTGTCAGAGGTCGCACGCCTCTGGAGCAACGAGGGGTGTCATTGTCAACATAATGGTGGTTGGGTCACAGTGGGGAATTGAACCCGGGTCTATCACAAAGGCATTTGTCCTATCCGTTGCACCATCACCACCCCACCACTAACACTTACACACTGAACCTTTAACATAAGTATGAAAACATGAACGCCTTCCCTTAATGAAAGAGGTCTTCATCCTGTGTGTGTCGTTCTGGGTACGCTACCCTCGACTCCAGGAAACTAGTCTATGTGCTGTTTCCAGCCATAAATAACTGAGTGAGTTTGTGTGCATCCTCCTCACCTCGTACTCCTCCTTGAAGCCGTAACCTTCGGCGCATTTCATCTGGGTGATGTGCTGCAGCAGGTCGGCCACTCGGATGGCCGGATGCAGCTGACCCGTCTGATAGGGCAGCGCCTCGCGCTCCGACTCCCTCTGCTTGTAGTGGGACTGGACCAGGCTGCTGGTTTCACTGGTCATAGTGTGACTGTCGTCTGGAGGAGGAACAGAATATGACAAACAGGTCAGACTGAGGCTGTAGCCAGAGGACCGCTGGACAGACAGACAGTCAGAACCGTGTGATGCAGATATGATGTTCATGTTGGATGGCATGGACTCGACGGGAATTCACTTTTGTCTCCTTTCGTTTAGGTACATTTATAGAAAAAAAAAGTCTTCAGTTATTTGTCCAAGTAAAGGTTAAAATCAAGGGCAGCTGGACTTGGCTGAAGATACTGGAAGACGTTTCGTCGTTTGGACGAGAGACTAAAGTTCTGACAAAGGTTCTGGCGAACTGAAGAAGACTCTTGGATGAGAGACAAAACGTCCTCAAGTATCTTTAACCAAGTCCAGCTGCCCTTTCCTTGGATAACTATGACCTGGATGACAGAGAACCTGCACAGACATCTTCAGACACCTTCTGGGCCGACACTGTACAGACGAAGCCTGGTTTTAGCTCTGTGTTGTTGGTCCCAGACTTAATTCAGAATCAGACCAAACTTCCACCAGATTATCTGTCGCCTCATGTTCGAGACGAATTCCCAGAGCAGTCGCCTCTGATTTCTGGTAGGTTGGACTCTTTGGGCAGTTTGAAAAGTCCTGATCCGAGTTCCCAACATGGCTGCTGTTACCTGTTGTAACCTGTAGAAAGTAGGGCTGTTTTTTTTTAGCTGTATCCGCATGCAGGAGTAAATCTGCTTACTGTATTCGAATCCCTCGTAAAATCTTTCAACATTTAAAAGCAGCGGGAGTTAAAAATAATAAATAAATAACTCAAACTGGGATTTAGGTCTTTTTATCTGGATCTCTTTAGCTTTTAATTGATCATCTTAAAATATTGATCTGATTGATTGATAAACCTTTGGGTTAGGATTAGCAAGCCAGCAGCTCTCATGATCAATGAACCTGATCTTGTTTGCTGGTCTGAAAGCTGATTTAAAACATAAAAACCTTTAAAATATGTAATTTAATGTAAAATCTATAAACAATATTACAACATCTGCACAACAACGTCCCACTTCCTGTGTAGACAGGAAGTAAAGAGACAAAAGGGTATTACAGCTTCAGATGTGTTGTTACCACAACAACCCTAGTGCATCAGATCACATGACTGGAGAGAGGATGGTGATTGGTGCTGGTTTCTTTTCACACTGCCGCCGCAGCTATCAATCACGGATCAATAATCTGATCCAACAAAAGGACTTCCAATCAAACCAATCTATTATATGAATCAGTTGCTGGTCCAGACCCAGTACAGGTCCTGGACCCATTACTGGTCCAGACCCAGCACAGCATGGTCTCAGTACTGACACTGGTCCCAGTACTGGTCTAGACCCAGTACAGCATGATCTCAGTACTGGTACTGGTCCCAGTACTGGTCCAGATGTGGTCCAGGTTCTCGGAGCTGCAGTGTGGAGAGAGCAGAGTTCAGAGTCCTGGAACAAAACAAACCTCTCTGGTGAACCGTTTACTGACATGACCCAGGGACATCCAGGACTCTGACGTGAACATTTCAACAAAGACTCGATGGACAAACCTTCCACTACACTTTCTAACTCTGCTCTTATTGGCTAGCCTGGAGGCTGACTGACCAATCTGAAACTCTCTATCCCAAACAGCCCAACCAATCAAGGCGAGGGCGAGGAGATGGGCAATTTGATGGAGGTGGCGGTTTGTGGAGGACGGGTGAGACAACCACAACAATGACAACAGCAACCAATCAGAAAAAAGAGAGATGGGCAGAGCTGAAAACTGATTGGTTCGAGGTGAAATGGTGGGAGGAGTTGGGGAAAGTGATGTCACAATTTCACATGGGGGTTAAAATGAGGCTAATTGATGACAACAGCGGGTGGTGGGTGCGGCTCCATGCGCAGTGGTGACACCCCCCCAACATGAGTCCCGCCCCTTATCCCCAAATTTAACCACTTACCATTAATGGGCACTTTACACAGAGAAAGATAGAAGAGAAGAAGAAGAGAGAGGAGACAGGGTATAAGCAACAACTTTAGCTTTAGCCTGCTACTGCTAACACACAGCTAGCATGAATCAAACAGCAACTAGCACTGTCTATGTGAACTTGTCACAACTAGCAGCAACCGCCTAGGCTAACCTAGCTAACCCGGCTAACCTGGCTAACTGGACCCTAAACGTAGGACTCCTCAGCTAACGTCCCAACCCCCGGCCTGAAGACAGATCAGCTAGGAGAGAGGACAAACAGGAACCTAAGCAACAGTTTGCTTCAACGTTCCTTCACTTGGACATTAAACTAGCCTAGCAGCACATGTAGCGCAGCAGTTAGCATCCGATTTTGGTTCACTTTCCACGAGCAAAACACAGATCAGCAGTCTGTTCTTGATTTATTTCAGAGTTTATATCGTCTAGATCAGTCTCATTTTTTGTAACCCTGTTTATTAGAAATTAATTTGTTTGTTAGTTTTTCACCTGTTGTCGATTTAGATAAACACTTTGGTTAGGCTTCAGGAAACATGATCCCTTCAATGTTATTAAAGTCAACCTCTGTCACAGTTTTGGGGTTTTGTTTCCTGTTTTGTTTTGAAGTTACCAGTCCTTGTTCCTGCCTGTGTCTTCCCTGTTGCTTACCTGATCTGTCTCACCTGTATTAATCAGCCTGCCTGCTTGAGTTGGTATATATAGTCCGTGTTTCCTTCCTGGTTTTGTAGGACCGTCTGTCTTTCTCTTTTGGATTACTGTGTTATTTCTGTTTGAGTCTGAATTGAGTCCTGCCTGTCTTACTGTGGATTGTTTGGTCTTAAGTTTCGGACTTGACTGATGTTTAGTTCCTTGCATCCCAGCTGTGTTGGTTTATTCACCAGTATTTCTGGGTTTGGGTCCAATAATATGTTCAGTGTTCCTAACTTTGATTTAAAAAACATAATTAAGGCGCATTACATTTGCTGTCACAGTTTAATGTTTTTTGTTTAACCATATGATTTAGGGATCTTTAAAAATTGTGACCAAGATATGACACTGTTTCTAAATTCCCTCACATTTGACATCTACTTTGACTTCATGTTATTGATTAATAAAAATTTAAATAATCTTTATTTACAGGCCTGCTTTGGGGGAATATTCATATGAAATCCTATAAAATAAAATACAGACGAATGAACCAGAGACTATGCAGATCTTTGGTTTTAGTTGTCAACACCTTTTCAGCTGTGTCCTGTTCTTCTTCTGTTTGTGATTAAAGGTACGATATTTGGAACAGACACGGGAGGTTAAGCTGGCTTAGCACAGCATTCTTGATTTGTTTGTTTGACTTAGCTTAGCTTCCTGCTCATTTTGTGTTAAATAAAAATAATCTTAAAATCAACAAACGTCTGCAACATCCAAGAATCACAACCAAGACGTCCAGAGTGTAAAAGAAGCTGCTAGCAGGCCCTCTGACTGACTCTGGTTTTAAATGGTTAGTTTGTTTTCCTCCCCCCAGTCCACGTGGGCGTGTTGTGTCCATGCAGAGGTTGGAGGTCACAGACAGACGTGACGTCAACACGACACGCAGGAATGTTGTGGATGTGGGGATGGAGTGAAGCCCACCGTTGTTTAAAAAAATAAATAAAAAAAATAAATAAATGTTAAAAAATAATAAAAACACATTTAAAACATACTAAAAATTATATTTATTTTTGAAATAAAAAATAAATTACAAAATTGTTTAAAAAACTAAAATTCAATAATAAAATTGGAAAAACAAATTTATCAGAAAGGAAAACTTAAAGCAAAATCTCTTTAAGGGCTAATCAATATAGAATTATTATTAAAATTAAATCAATATATTAATTAAAGATGGAGGATTTGGAGAATAAAAATAAAACTTTAAACAAAATACTTTTAAATATTTTGAACATAAAAAAACAGAAGAACTAAAAGCAGCCGAACAAGAAGCAAGCAGGGATGGATGGAAGCCAAAATATCACTCTCTCTTTCTCATTCTCTCCATCCTCATCTCCATCCTTTCACCTGTCTTCTCTGTCTCACCTGTCTGTCCACTCCCTGTCTGTCTATCTACTTCCTGTCTGTCTACCTGTGCAGGTTGTTGGGGTTTTTTTTGTCCTACAGAGGAAAGAAAGGAAAAGTGTCTCACCCAGAATGGCCGTCGGTACGAAGGGATCTACCGTCAGGACACATCAGCAGCAGACAGAGACACAAAGAGAAAGACACAGGACAAAGGGAAAAGAAAAGAAGAAGGAAAAGTCAGCCCCCCATATCTGTGTGTATGTATCCAGCTGATTTGGCTGAATGTCGGTACACTCGGCTGAACGTCGGCACATCACCTGCTCTGGTCAGTAATGATGACATCCACACTGACCTCCGGTCTCTCTGTGACCTGGCTGCTCCTACTGGACTTTAAATCCTGTTCTCATGTTTTAAAGTGGATTTTTTTTCCTTCTGCTGCATTTTATCAGCGGAGACTGAAGGAGGGTGATTGGCCAGCATTCACAGTGTACCCCTGGGAGAAAGACAGCTGCCTCACTGAGATACTGAAGGAACCTTAAAACATGAAGGTTCTAAGGACGTTCTGCAGCGTCTCTCTCTGGTTTTCTAAGCTGATATCTGGTTGTTTGTTCTGGAGAGCAGCTCAAACAAACTGTTCTGTTTGGAAAATAAAAGCGGCGTTGTTACCTGGGTAGTAGGAGTTGGGGACGGTGGTGCTGATGGTGTTTGACTTCAGGGTGAAGGAGGACGGAGACGACACAGCTGGACAGAGAAACAACAGACACAACCTTAATGTCTCCTAAAGACGTGGACATCACTGTCCTGCAGCCACACATGTAGATTAATCCGCCGCTGAAGATAGAACTACTTCCTCCAGCTAAACCCTGAAACAGACTTTGTGTTATTGTTGCTCAACATGTGTCGGACCAGGTTTATTAAAAACCTTGGATTAGATCTCGTTAAGGAGGATGAATATTAAACACCAGCAGCATGAGAGGAAAGCGCTCCAACATAAAGAGAAACAGGAGAAGAAGAGAAGCAGAGTAAGACTGGAGGAGCTCAGAGGAGGTGAAAGCCTGAGGGAAGGTCGACTCCTCCGTCCTCTAAACCTCCATCATCCCTCCATCAGCCGGCTCTCTCCCTCCGGCTGCCTCTCTGACAGTCCGTCACTTCATGATAAAACATTCGGTCATATCACCTGCAGTCACATCGTCTCTTTGGGTTCTGAATATTAAACTGCAGAGAGCCGCTGCTCTGGAGACCACGGCGAACGGATTATTTATTCATCAGTGTTTACAGACAGACAGACTCTCTGATCCTGAATATTATAGACAGACTTCGTTCATTCTTCTCTTTCATCTCGTGTCGATTTCATCTCAGTAATCTTTTTCTTTTCACGTTCTTCTGTCATTTCTCTGCTCTCTCTTGTCGACACGCTCTCACTCGTCACATATGGATGCTGCGTCAACAACCCTGGCGTCGCTTTTTGACGCCCTGGGTAGCTTTGTTTTTGCAAATGTAGGACTCCACGGTCAAGTTAGCAACAATAAATAAAAGTACATTTTAACGGTGTGAAAACATCGTGGTTTGGGTTAAAATAACCCAATAAGTTAAGTTACGATACTTAAGTAACCTAACCTAACCTACGCATCATAAAACTTTGATTAACCACATGGACCCTGCCACCTATTTCCAGGAAAAACGCCTAAAATAACAAACCCGAAAAAAATCAGTAATATCTCCTCGACCATCAGGCCTAGATGCATAATTCGGATCTCCTTTGATGCAATACAGAAAAAATATATTTTCATCCTCGCCTGGTAAAAAAACCTATACTTTAATGCAATAAACCATCATAAGGTAGATTATAATGCACCTGAATATCTTCTAATACACATGGAACACAACTGTAACTGTAAATCTGAAGAAAAGAAACTGATTTACAACAGTTATTACACAATCTTTCAAAAACATACCAGGCGATTGTCCATGTTTTGGCCATATTTACTGTTTCTATGTTCACTTTTATTGGGAGTATCTTATATTTATCTTTAAAACACTATTTCTATAACAATAATAATAATAAATGATTAAAAACAGTCAATATTCCTGTGACCAAAAGCACTCACACGCTTTACAGGCCACAGCTTGAGAACAGAACATCCTACAGGGCTGTAAGCGGTCTTTGTATTGAAGAGAATCAAATCGATTGATATCCTGCATGTCTGTGTAGCTCCTACAGGTCGCCAGCAGAGGCCGATAAAGACCCTCTCCGCCAAAGCAAACTCTTCTTCTCTACTTCAATCTGAGCTAAGGCGACCTCACCAAGATGGCGGCCCGCCAGACGGCCTCTGTTGACACAAAGGACCGCTGTTTTTGGACGGAAAACAGTGAGAACAACGAAAATCGATGGGCAGGTCCGGTACCACATGGTTAATAGTCCGGGCTTTTATTTGCTAAAATCCCTGAACAGACCCGGCCTATATTTGGGACAGGCCTTTAATTCTTTTCGCAAAGATGTGAAATAGACATCAAATAAATTCTGATAGCAAATAACATATCAATTACAAATCATTCATTTCATCTAGCTCCGAACAGACAGCTTCTTTTATTTTGTAAGCAGCAAGGTACCGAAAACCAGCGTAGCCAACAGCACGGCGCAGGAAGCAGAGACACGTGTGGGAGGAGTTAGCAGACGGAGAACGGACTCATTCAGACTTTGCGACCTCCTCAAAGGTCAGAAGTCACCACAGTTTTTTATCCATGCCGGTGAATCTGAGTGAGTCCGACTTTGCTGTTACCGCCTGTCCACACTGTCTGTCTGTGTTCCTGATCTGAGCAGCAGAAGCAGCTAAAGAGGCGAGCCGACGCCCTTTAAGATGTTTTACACATCCAACTATTTTCAACGTAACTTTTGTCACGTAAAACGTTTGCTTTGTTTTTTTCTAACCTCCATTTTTATCTCGTGTTACTCATCTCATCTGTCTCATTCGTCCTCTCTTTGTGTTGTCTCATCCTGTTTGTCTCTTCTTTTGTCTCCTCACACTCTCTCCTCTTGTCTCACCCGTGTCCCTCGTCTTTATTAACTCCTCCCGTCTTTTCTCATCTCGTCTCTGTAAGTTAAATTAAACGTGTACTCACTGCGTCCGTTCAGCGTGTGCGTGTCCACCATGGTTGTGTGTTGGGAGCTGTTGACCATCAGAGTCATTTCCTGTCTGGAGCTCAGAGTTTCCTTCCTCTTCTTCGCCAACTTCCTGTAGAGACGGGAAACAAACACACAGCAGTAAGTCCGTGTCACTGCTCGTTGTTTTCTGGGTGTGTTTACAGTGTACACAGAACACACAGGGCCCCTGAACGCACCACCAACCTAACCTGCATGCAGTGTGGCCTTCACTGACCGCGGGACGCTTCACCTCAGCCGTTTTATCTTCACATAAGACGCAACACATCTCACCTCCGACACCTTTACCTGTTCGCCATCACCGCCCTGCTGGTGATGTGTTATAATAATGATAATGAATCCTGAAAAGTTTATGAGACAGATTTTATTATTTGGCTGAAAACCTTGAAGTTTGTCCGAGCATTTCAGGGTTAAAGGCGCAACGTGAACGTGACTTGCAAGATGGCCAACAACATTATTTTAGGGACCGAGCAGTTGGGGGCCCAGCGGGTGGGGAGGCAGCAGGGACTGCCAGAGGGCCTTTACAGTTGTGTCTGTTGGCGACTGGTGGCAGAGACGCTGTTAGAGGTTCTCTGGAGGAGCCGGGAATCGAACCAGGAACCTTCCGAGCCCGTTACTAGACGACCGCTCGACCTGCTGAGCCAGAAAACGTTCCTTTCTGTCTGTTAAGGCGGCACGAGCAGATTATAATATGATTTATCTCAGTTAAGGTGGAATGATTAGGAGTTTATTTTCATGTTAAGGTGGTATTAGAGGCTCTAAAGTTTGCATTGTAGAATTTTAAGGAGTTTAATCTGTTTTAAGGTGGTAGTACTTTAAGGTATTTTATTAGTTTTAAGGGTGTACGGTCACTAAGGTGTCATCAGCAAGTTGTAATTTTTTTTGCATTTAAGGTGGTATAAATGGAGTTATGACTTTCTTTGACTCCATTGCTCACTAAATGGTTCTAAATGGTGTGTTGTCTGTCTGTTAAGGTGGTACAAGGAAGTTAAAGTGGTGTAAGTGAGCTTTTTAAGGTGGTATACGGGGTTGTGTTTTTCTGCTAAGGTTATTCAGTAGGAGTTTAAGGTGGTATGACTGCTGGAGTTGCTTTAATGAGCTGGAACTAAAGTGGAGATGGGACTGTGAACGTTCTGCTGTAATTGCGGTTGTAAATTTAATAAAATTAGTTCTGCTGTTAAAATATATGAGCCAGAAAAAAATCACACACACTGTCTGTGTGATTCACGTCCGATTCAGTGAGAAACACTGAGCATCTTGATCAAACTCTTTCCTGTTTCTCTGCTCTGATCTGAGTTTTTACAGAAAAGGAGGCCTCACACAAAGATCTGGATCCAGAGGATCAGAGCTGCTGCAGGGCTCCTCCACAGTCCGTCAGTGTTGCTGATGACCGACAGCAACAAAAATGGATTTTTTGCAGCGATCCAGGACTGTCGGACCTGTTATTTGGAGAAACGTCTGAGCAGGAATTCTGCCTCATGGTGCTGCTTCCTGCCCGCAGAACATGGCCACTGTCTTCCATACCGGTTGGAGAGTAGCAGGAGTGTATCTGTGAAATAACAGCACCAGAGGAGTATCCTCGAGACTGTTAGAGCCAGCAAAGGCTTCATGTGACCTGCAGGCAGCTGTGGATGGAAAAGGTCTTCTCTGTGACGTGTGTGTTGGCATGAACCAAGAGTCCTACACCATCACATGTGTGGGAAGTCAGAACAAAGTGACCGTCTCAGGCTGTGACGTGGGCATCACCTGACCCGGCACGCCTCATGACGCCCTGTTCGGATGCTGGCAGACTGACCCTGAACACCGAGAGACGTCTTTCTGGAGATAAAGAGGACGATGAGAGGGCTGCAGGCTGGAGCCGTGTGCTTCGTAACGTGGTTTCACTGCAGACAGGAAACATCCAGCCTCCTGTTCAGCCATCACAGCTCCACCACTGAGGGGGCGGGTGCTCTCGTGAATCTGAAGCATGTCTGTTTAGATAATCGGTTTATTTCTTTATGTGTCCAAACAATAAGACAGTCGCAGTCAAATATTCAGACCTCCACAACTAAATCATCTGTCATCACTAACACACAGAAGTTATATACTAATGATCTAGAGCCGAAACCATTAGTTATTTAATAGGTTATTGTGTTAATCAAATAATCATTTCTTCCAAATAAAACATTGTTTCTTCTCAAATGTGAGAATTTGATTATTTTTATTTTCTTAATATTTATATCTGCTTGAGTTCTCTGTCTACATCTCCATTTAAACTATTTATCCTTTCTGTCTTATCTCTCTATCCATGGATATTTCCCTCTTTCTTTCTACCGATTAGTTTTCTCTATCGCCATCCACCTCTGTCTTTAAATCATCTCTGTACATCCGAATCTCTATGTTTATCTTTTCCCTCCGTCCATCCACCTCTTGTATAACCACTGCAGAGGAAAAAATTCCATCTTTAAACTACAAAAACATCCTTTCATCCTCCCGTCTGTCCATCTACCGTCCTCTCCACACTCACTCACGGAAAAACACTCATTTTAAAAGCTTGATGTATTTTCTCTCTTTCTATTCCGAGTGTGCGAATAAAAAAACATCCATTTGTCCGATTGCTCACAAACACACACACACACACACACACACACACACACTGGAAAGTTTAAACCCTGACCTGAAAATGGAAAAGGAAAAAATATATATAAATAAATATTAAAAAAAACAAGCTTTTAAACTGAAAGTAAGACATCAGTGAAAGCAGCTGTGTGTGAGTTTGTGTGTGCGCTGGGGTTAAGATGGAGGACGGTGAAAGCGCCCTGAGGCGACGCTGCCCTCCTCCTCCTCATGTCACCTATTTCTTCTTCTGTGGTTCAGTCAGACTGTAAAAACCTGCAGCGTTTCTTCTTCTCTGATTCAGACCTGAACACACAAACTCAGAGAGAGTACATCTACAACACAAAGTCTGAATTGGCTCTACAAACGTGTCTGGTTCTGGTTATAAGCAAACTAATTGAGTCTGTTTGGACTCTTTGTTTCAAAGTGTTTCAGACCAAACCATAATCTACCCTGAAGACTACAACTACAACTACACAAAGTCACACCAAACAACTACAAACTCAAAAACAACCACAGAGACAACAAACAACTACAAAGAGACAAAAACAACCACAAAGAGACAACAAATGACTACAAAGAGACTCAAAACAACCTCAAAGAGACAACAAAAAACTACAAAGAGACTCAAAACAACCAGAATGAGCCCATAGAGAGAACAAATGACTACAAACACTAAAAACTACCACAAAGAGACAACAAACAACCACAAAGAGACTCAAAACAAACACAAAGTCACCCCAAACAACTACAAACTCAAAAACAACAACAGAGACAACAAATGACTACAAAGAGAGTCAAAATAACCACAAAGAAACAATCAACTACAACGAGACTTAAAACAACCAGAATGAGACCATAGAGACAACAAATGACTACAAACACTAAAAACTACCACAAAGAGACAACAAACAACTACAAAGAGACAAAAAACAACCACAAACAGACTCAAAACAACTACAAAGAGACAACGAAGAACTACAAAGAGACTCAAAACAAACACAAAGAGACTCAAAACAACCGCAAAGAGACAACAAACGACTACAAAGAGACTCAAAACAACCAGAATGAGACAACAAACGACTACAAAGAGACTCAAAACAACCAGAATGAGACCATAGAGACAACAAATGACTACAAACACTAACAACTACCACAAAGAGACAACAAACGACTACAAAGAGACTCAAAACACCCAGAATGAGACAACAAAAAACTACAAAGAGACTCAAAACAACCAGAATGAGACAACAAAAAACTACAAAGAGACTCAAAACAACCACAGACTACAAAGAGACTTAACAACGTTTTTATTTCCCTTATAATTAACTGAATTCTCTTCACACTCTAAACGTTTTGTTTTAATTTCCAATAATAAATGATTAAAGCACAAATAAAAATGTTTCCTCGTTTTTCATCTTGTCAAACTGTATTTCTGTCTGTATACGCCTCTCTCCGTTACCTGTAGTGCCGAGTCCACCTTTCTGACTCCAATCAGCTATCCTGACCTTTGACCTCTGCCCCCTGCACCCCCCAACACACACTATAAAGACTTGAGTGAATAGAGAGAGAGCAGCAGCACGTAACCTCACAATACCAAGAAAATCCTGCAGCAAAACAGCTTTTATATGTTTTCATGTTTGATTTGAATGGAGACTCACTCTGTGTGTGTGTTTCATGGCATTATCAGCGAGGTGTCGGGGGTTGACTGAACAAGCAACACTCAACATGAACACACACACGTGCATGTCAAGGCTAATCTATGCTAATCTAATGAGCGACGGCACAATGCTGTTAGCGGTAATGGATGTCAGAGTGTGTGTGTAGGTGTATCTCTCCTTGTAACAATCATTTGATCAGACAGGTTTATTACAGCCGGCTAATTCTATTAACCCTGCTCCACTGCGCGCACACACACACACACACACACACACACACAGTAAATCACAGATCGGCCTCCTTCAGGAACATAAAACTGACTCTGTGAACAGGGCCGTCCACATACTTTTGGCCGTGTACCTCCTGGAGGTTGTGTGTAAAGTCAGAGTCTAGTTTTGTGTTTGAAGGTTAAACAGTCTGACATCTCATAAACCTGTTCACTGATATACTATCTTCTAATATGGATAAACTGGAGCAGTTTAATGTGTGTGAGTCGGTGTGAAGCTGGAGTTTCACACAAACACTCTCGGCGACCTGAGGAGGAGTGTGTGAGTACTTCCTGTGTCCCTGAGGAGATAATTCAGCTCTAACCTGAAGGGAAACTCAGGTTTCTCTCCTCCATCGCACATTTTTATTGATCACTTTTCACACCAGAGTTTTAAACAGGAAACAGAAGTGTCCAATCAGGAGTAGGAAACTGGAGGCACGGAGTCAAGCGACTGCAACGTTAACCACATTTAGATGCAGCAGGTGAAAGTGAAGCGAGCCAAAGCAGATCGATAATGCGTTAAAGTCAGATACAGAGGTGTTGAAGCTGACTTACAACGCTGCGGCGGCTCAAAGCCAACTAAACAGACTGCTGAAGCACTAAGTCAACCAGAGAAGAGACGAATCCAGCTAACGCACACTAAAGTTAAACAAAGAGCAGACCTCAAATCAGAGAGAAGCCACCTGAAAACCCAACCCATTCTCACTACCAAGTCGTCACTAATGGACGCATGATCAAGACCCGTTGGTGTCAGCCCTGGAAGCCCCTTAGCTTCATAGTTCAACGCAGTGGGGGAAGCCCTGTAGCGTCGTTTATGAACATAAAGGTGGGATTGGTGCCTAAACCTGACCAAGTAGTTTTGGTGCCTAAAGTTGACCAAGTAGTTTTGGTGCCTAAACCTGACCAAGTAGTTGTGGTGTCTAAATCTAACCAAGTGATTTTGGTGCCTAAAGTTGACCAAGTAGTTTTGATGTCTAAACCTGACCAAGTGATTTTGGTGCCTAAACCTGACCAAGTGGTTTTGGTGTCTAAACCTGACCAAGTAGTTTTGATGTCTAAACCTGACCAAGTAGTTTTGGTGCCTAAACCTAACCAAGTGGTTTTGGTGCCTAAAGTTGACCAAGTAGTTTTGATGTCTAAACCTGACCAAGTGGTTTTGGTGCCTAAAGCTGACCAAGTGGTTTTGATGCCTAAACCTGACCAAGTGGTTTTGGTGCCTAAAGTTGACCAAGTAGTTTTGGTGCCTAAACCTGACCAAGTAGTTTTGGTGCCTAAACCTGATCAAGTAGTTTTGGTGCCTAAACCTGACCAAGTAGTTTTGGTGCCTAAACCTGACCAAGTAGTTTTGGTGCCTAAACCTGATCAAGTAGTTTTGGTGTCTAAACCTAACCAAGTGGTTTTGCTGTCTAAAGTTGACCAAGTGGTTTTGCTGCCTAAAGCTGACCAAGTGGTTTTGATGTCTAAACCTGACCAAGTGGTTTTGCTGCCTAAAGCTGACCAAGTGGTTTTGATGTCTAAACCTAACCAAGTGGTTTTGCTGCCTAAAGCTGACCAAGTGGTTTTGCTGCCTAAACCTGACCAAGTGGTTTTGCTGCCTAAAGCTGACCAAGTGGTTTTGATGTCTAAACCTGACCAAGTGGTTTTGCTGCCTAAACCTGACCAAGTGGTTTTGGTGCCTAAAGTTGACCAAGTAGTTTTGGTGTCTAAACCTAACCAAGTGGTTTTACTGCCTAAAGTTGACCAAGTAGTTTTGGTGTCTAAACCTAACCAAGTGGTTTTGCTGCCTAAAGCTGACCAAGTGGTTTTGATGTCTAAACCTGACCAAGTGGTTTTGCTGCCTAAAGCTGACCAAGTGGTTTTGATGTCTAAACCTAACCAAGTGGTTTTGCTGCCTAAAGCTGACCAAGTAGTTTTGCTGCCTAAAGCTGACCAAGTGGTTTTGATGTCTAAACCTAACCAAGTGGTTTTGCTGCCTAAAGCTGACCAAGTGGTTTTGCTGCCTAAACCTGACCAAGTGGTTTTGCTGCCTAAACCTGACCAAGTGGTTTTGGTGCCTAAAGTTGACCAAGTGGTTTTGCTGCCTAAACCTGACCAAGTGGTTTTGGTGCCTAAAGTTGACCAAGTGGTTTTGGTGCCTAAACCTGACCAAGTGGTTTTGGTGCCTAAACCTGACCAAGTGGTTTTGATGTCTAAACCTGACCAAGTGGTTTTGCTGCCTAAACCTGACCAAGTGGTTTTGGTGCCTAAAGTTGACCAAGTGGTTGTGGTGCCTAAACCTGACCAAGTGGTTGTGGTGCCTAAACCTGACCAACATGCAACATTAACCACTAGTTTAAATTTGAAAGTCTAACCTGGGTGTTGCATATGTATTGTTACTTACTTGACTGCCGAACCCTACACGTCCAAAAATGACACTAAAGGGTACCGAGGGAGTTAAAAAGCAATGGTCTTGACCAAGCGTCCATATGTAATGATTTGGGAGTGAGAATGTGTTGGAAAACCAACAGAGGGACACTTAATCTAACCAGCACCAGGGGAGGGAGGGGGTAAAGGATCAATGGTTAAGTGTAAAGGTACAGGTAAAGACTTGCGGTCAGGTTAGCTAAAGGTAAATGCATGGTTAGGGGGTCAGGGGTCACAATCAAAAGAATTGCTGCATTCACCTCACATGGGATGATGTCATCAAGATGGTTGCATGAATACACAGCTGGTCATGTGGCAATTAAGCTGCTGAGCTTTGACAATACATGAGACTCTATCCATTACATTTGGGTTTACTTTGTAGAGTGATACAAACATCTGACGCCACCAGCCTGATCTAAAGCTTCCATGTTTGTATGCTCAGCACCAAGTCGGATAAATCAGAGTTTCCCAGTCGCAGTTACAACTTGGAAGTTGACATGAATCCTATTTACAAGTTAGAAACTCGATATTCTGATGACATGAAATGAGGGCCCGTGTCCACCAAAGCATTTTTTCCTGAGGCCAGAGTCTTTTTTCAATTAATGCACTGGGAGCAGAGCATATTTGCAACATGTTAAAAATGCTAGCAGGGTGACGAGGGCGTCTATTCCACACTGGGCGTTAAAAAATGTTCAACTTTGGGTGAAACGCAACGCTCGTCAATGTCAGTTTTTACCTAGCCGTCCCATCATAGTGCAGGAGGGCCGGGACAAACGCCACACTGAGCCATCTCAGCTCTGGAACGAAACAATGTGCCTACTTGCCAAGTTATTTCCTCACCCGCAAAATCTCATGAACCCACGTACGGCGTGTCCGTCCCTCACTATACATGTTTCAGCCTTCTTTTCATGCAGAGCAAGGGCCAGAGCAAGTAGGCCCACCCTACTTTGTGGTGACATTTTTATATTCAGTAAAATTAGGTTGCCTACTTGCAGCACATCACCTCTACGGATATTATGTATCATATATCATATATCATATGTATCACCCGAATATCATATGGCATTTTCAGCTGGTAAAAAACACTTTGGTGGACACAAGCCCTAAGACGTGTCAGTCAACATAGAGAGCTGGTGTAAGTCAGGGGCTAGAGGGCAGGGGTAGAAAGGGTAAACAAATGGGTTTAGACTCGCACTAAAAGTCTATTATTCGGGATCAGAGGTTCAGGGGTAAGCAGGGGTCAGTGGTTCAGGGTCAGGGTCAGAGGTTTGGGGTAAGCAGGGGTACAGGGTCAGGGTCAGAAGTTTGGGTTAAGCAGGGGTACAGGGTCAGGGTCAGAGGTTTGGGGTAAGCAGGGGTACAGGGTCAGGGTCAGAAGTTTGGGTTAAGCAGGGGTACAGGGTCAGGGTCAGAAGTTTGGGGTAAGCAGGGGTACAGGGTCAGGGTCAGAGGTTTGGGGTAAGCAGGGGTACAGGGTCAGGGTCAGAAGTTTGGGTTAAGCAGGGGTACAGGGTCAGGGTCAGAGGTTTGGGGTAAGCAGGGGTACAGGGTCAGGGTCAGAGGTTTGGGGTAAGCAGGGGTACAGGGTCAGGGTCAGAGGTTTGGGGTAAGCAGGGGTACAGGGTCAGGGTCAGAAGTTTGGGTTAAGCAGGGGTACAGGGTCAGGGTCAGAGGTTTGGGGTAAGCAGGGGTACAGGCAGAGCTCAGGGTTTCAGGTGTTTCAGGTGTTCTGATGTTGAGGTGAAGGGTCAGAGGTTAAACAGGTTACTCACAGGTAGTAAGTGTAGGAGTGATAATTTCTTCGTCTGAGTGGTGTGGGCGGAGCAGAGGGAGGGATGGAATGGAGGGAAAGAAAAACAGAAAAACAGAAAAAGGAAAAACAACAGATTAATGTCTTGGAGAGAAAAACAGAACAGATGAGTTAAATTATTCAGTGTGGAGGTGGAGGAGCGGAGCTTGGTGAATGGCTGGCACAAGGTGTCAGTCAAAGTGTGAGGGGGAGGGGACACATTTGAGTTCTGGTTCCTTTGTGCAGACGCTTGTAAAAGATCCCGATCCTGAGGGGTAGCTATACACCCAAAGTCCACTTTATTAGGTACACCTGTCCAGTCCAAGACCAGACAGACTCTTCATCAATCAGCTCGGCCGTCTGTCTGCAGTCCGAGCTGTTCTGGGATCTTATTTCCAACATGGCTGCTGTCAAAAGAGCTGTTAGAAACTAAAGTGAGTTTGCTTTAATATTACTGCAGTAGTATTTTAATACTACTGCAGTATAACATAAGGCTCGCCTGCAGTCAGGTGGCCGAGCTGCTCATGAATGATCAAGAAGGAAATCGTCCCCCAAATCAACAGTTTAGATTTTTATGTTGTTGCACAAGATAATGACTTACAAATAAAACAATCTTAACAACAACATAACTTATAATACACAACATTGGTACATTCTGCTGGTACTTCTTGTTTACTGTGTAACAGAGTATTTTTACTTTGTGGTACTGCTACTTTTACTTAAAGCTGGGGGAAGTAATTTGGAGAAACCAGCTACAAACAGCTCTAACAGAACCCCCCCCCAAAGTCAATACCCCAAAACCAGCAATTCTACCTCCCAACTGATCACATATGGACACTTGGTCAAGACCCCTTTTTTGTCACTTTTTAACACCCTGGGTAACCTTTAGCGTAATTTATTGACATTTAGAGCTCCGCGGTCAAGTTGGCAACAAAAAATATGCATCGTCTGGTGAGACTGTCTTAATAATAATAACTACTTGTTAACAAAACAGCACGTGATTAACATTGTGAAACATCAAAAATTGGTGGGCTTCAGGTTTGTTTTTTTTTACATTTATTCATTTTGCTGACGCTTTTATCCAAGGCGACTTACCACTGCTATATATGTCAGAGGTCGCAGCCTCTGGAGCAGCGAGGTTAAGGTTAAGTGTCTTGCTCAGGGACACACTGGTGTCTCACAGTGGATTCGAACCCGGGTCTCTCACACCACTTCGTCATCACCACCCAGAAGTATTTCTTCAGTTCAACATGCTGTGACTGGGATTTGAACCATCAACCTTGGGATCTGCAGGGCAAGCACTTACCCACTGCACTACTGGGTTAAAATAAAAACTTTACTTATGTAGGTTAGCTTATGTGATGTTATGTTAAGTAACAATACTTGTGTAACTTATGCAACATAAATAAAAACACTTGCTTCTGACTTTTTGAAAGTGTGAAAGTCCAGTTTCTGGCCCTCCGTCCTCCCCAAACACCACTTTTTCTGTTAAATGTCTAGTATTCATAAATTACGCTACAGCTTCTCCCAGAGTGTCGAGCTATGACGCTAAGGGGCTCCCCAGTGCGTCACACACTGACGGGTCCTGACCATGTGTCCATATGTGATGAGTTGGGAGTGAGAACGAGTTGCCAAAACACATTTTCATGTGCAGTGAGAGCACGCCGGCAGACGGGCAGGTAGGCCAGCCGTGCTTAATACCGGCCTGGCAACCACAGATACAGATTTTATTCATGTTGTGACAGTGTTTGATTTATTGATTGCTGTCAGACACTTCTGAAATAATCTTTAAAAACAGAATGTGAATCCTTTCATGAACCAAAGTCTCCATGAAGACAATAACATGACCGTGTTCCCACATATTCAAACGTCTTGGTGAGTGCCAGGACTACTTTATCCCTCTGTATCACTCCACTATCAGCTGTTTCAGGGCGTAGGAACACGCTGCGCTACAAAAACCCTGATCACCCTGCAGCCAGCCAGAGTTTAAACACGCAGCTTCCTGTTTTCACTCCTGCTGTAATGAGTCTGACCTCCATCTGCTCACAGAGTGGAAATCAAACGCACCCCATCAACATTAAAAAGCTCATTAGAGACCGAACAACCACCTCTCTCTCTAATATCTGTTAGAGAGATCAGAGCTCGATCGACCGACAGAAGAGTCCGACTGAAGCTCCATGTTGTACCGACACACACACACACACACACACACACACTCTCTGGCTTTCTATAAATGTGTGTGTCTGTAGCCTGAAGCCATTCAGCTCGAGGCGACTGGAAAAAAACAAAGAATAAAACGCTCTTTCATCTAAATTTCTCTCTTATCGTCGACGTTCTCCAAACACAGAAGCTTTTCTCTCTGCGTTTAAGTGTGTGTGTGTGTGTGTGTTTGTGTCCCAGCGGGGTTGTGTGTTTGATGTTGGAGAATAAAGTCGGTCCACATATAGTTTAATGGTGATTACTGCTGCAATCTGCTCCATTATTCATCCTCATCATCCTCACTGTCACTGAGTGTGTGTGTGTGTGTCTTTGATGCAACTTTATCTGCAGTAAAGATATAAACATGTAAGATATTATAATACCAGCATTACAGTATTAGTACATCAGAAGTACTGAAGCTGTAGTACTATTACTACTAAGTGTACAGTAAACTTTAATATCTTAATCCCATCATGTGATTCCGAAATCTGTCAGAAACCTTCGATGTTGCTGATACAACAGGTCAGTATCACGTCCACCCGGACCCCAGAGCTTCGGGTGTCTTACTTACATGTGTGTTCTTAGCTTGCCAATGTTAGCCACGGGTAATGCTACATTCATAAATGTTGATTTGTTGCTAATTATTCCACAAGGAGCTGAGCTGATCACATGACACAACAAGATGCTTCCTGATGTGTCAGTAAAAGGTGACGTTGCACGTTGTTACCATGGCTGTGAATCCTGTCAGACTGTCAGATGTATAGGTGGACATGAAAACGTCTAAAAACAGGAGAAACTCGGGGAAACTGAGCTGTGAGGCGGTGGGAGTGACGCTAAAGCGATTAGTTCGTGGTTACTTCCTTATGATCCATGCTGATAACAGGTATCCAAGAGAAGGTTGCATGTCTGAGCTTCTCTACGGACTGCAGGTGAGACCGCAGTCAGCTCGGCACTCTGCGATAGGCTGCTTGCAGTCACGTGACTGAAACGACGCTTGACATTCAGAACAAGGCAGGCTGAATGTGTGAAATGGACGAAAGCCTGGACAGTGCTGGTTATTGTTTACTCGTGTCATTCCCGGCAACATGGGTGACATCTGGAATCGTCCAATTCATTCTTAAATTATGGCTTTAGGGCTAAAGTGTCATTTGGTCAAACCTCCCCTTCTCCCGGCTGATCGGCGGTGTTATACAGTAGTTGCACTTGGAAGTTTTACGGTTGAGAAAATGTATTTCCAAAGGAAATGTCTGATGGCAGGTAAGCGCTAAAAATATTCTAAATAAAGCGTACACTCGAGCTGATGGTGGGCCTTCTTTCAGGTGGTTAAAACATGTGAGTTGCTGACCCAGTCCACAGCAGCTCAGCGTAGCTTCAACTCTCCGAACCAACATCTACTGCAGGCAATAATAAGTAACTCATACAGCCCCACTTCCCGTTTACTGCCAGTTCTTGTTCTGGGTTTCTGGTCAATACAGCCGGGACATTAACCAAACCACTAACCTGCCATTATCTAAACCACCATCCAGCAAAAGCTTTGACTCATGAGGAGCAGAAAGACAAGCCGACACCTCATTTTCAAATTGACTGAAGAGAGAAAAGCTTCTGAAACCACACAAACAGACCTTCTTTACTATAGTGTGAGTATGATATTCTTACCGTTTCTTCATCAACAGAATGACTCCAAGGAAAATGATGATGAAGAGCAAGATGCCGGCGATGCCTCCAGCGATCTTCACTGTGTGGTCCGACTGTTTCTCCTGTTCTGGTTCTGGTTTCCTGGTCGCAGCTCCTGAAACCATTAACCAGTATTCAAACATCACATCACTGCTATCTTTACAAAATAATACTTTTTACTTTCATTAACTGCCTTTAACTACCGTGACCAAGAACTGCCGTTAACTCCCAGCACCTGAAACCATTACCCAACACTAACTGCCTTTAATTACCGTAACCTCCCAGCACCTGAAACCATTACCCAACACAAACTGCCTTTAACTACCGTGACCAAGAACTGCCGTTAACTCCCAGCACCTGAAACCATTACCCAACACTAACTGCCTTTAATTACCGTAACCTCCCAGCACCTGAAACCATTACCCAACACAAACTGCCTTTAACTACCGTAACCTCCCAGCACCTGAAACCATTACCCAACACTAACTGCCTTTAACTACCGTCACCTCCCAGCACCTGAAACCATTACCCAACACTAACTGCCTTTAACTACCGTCACCATGAACTACCGTAACCTCCCAGCACCTGAAACCATTACCCAACATTAACTACCTTTAAGTACCGTAACCTCCCAGCACCTGAAACCATTACCCAACACTAACTGCCTTTAACTACCGTAACCTCCCAGCACCTGAAACCATTACCCAACACTAACTGCCTTTAACTACCGTCACCTCCCAGCACCTGAAACCATTACCCAACACTAACTACATTTAACTACCGTAACCTCCCAGCACCTGAAACCATTACCCAACACTAACTGCCTTTAACTACCGTCACCATGAACTGCCGTCACCTCCCAGCACCTGAAACCATTACCCAACACTAACTGCCTATAACTACCGTCACCATGAACTGCCGTAACCTCCCAGCAACTGAAACCATTACCCAACATTAACTACATTTAACTACTGTCACCATGAACTGCCGTTAACTCCCAGCACCTGAAACCATTACCCAACATTAACTACCTTTAAGTACCGTCACCATGAGCTGCCCTTAATTCCCAGCACCTGAAACCATTACCCAAAACTAACTGCCTTTAATAACTACCGTTACCATGAACTGCCGTTAACTCCCAGCACCTGAAACCATTACCCAACATTAACTGCCTTTAATAACTACCTTTACCATGAACTACTGTTAACTCCCAGCACCTGAAACCATTAACCAGCATTAACTGCCTTTAATAACTACCGTTACCATGAACTACTGTTAATTCCCAGCACCTGAAATCATTACCCAACACTAACTACCTTTAACTACCGTCAGCATGAACTGCCGTTAACTCCCAGCACCTGAAACCATTACCCAACATTAACTACCTTTAAGTACCGTCACCAAGAACTGCCCTTAATTCCCAGCACCTGAAACCATTACCCAACATTAACTACCTTTAACTACCGTCAGCATAAACTGCCGTTAACTCCCAGCACCTGAAACCATTACCCAACATTAACTACCTTTAAGTACCGTCACCAAGAACTACTGTTAACTCCCACCTGAAACCATTACCCAACATTAACTACATTTAACTACTGTTCCAATGAACTGCCGTTAACTCCCAGCACCTGAAACCATTACCCAACATTAACTACATTTAACTACTGTCACCATGAACTGCCGTTAACTCCCAGCACCTGAAACCATTACCCAACATTAACTGCCTTTAAGTACCGTCACCATGAGCTGCCCTTAATTCCCAGCACCTGAAACCATTACCCAAAACTAACTGCCTTTAATAACTACCTTTACCATGAACTGCCGTTAACTCCCAGCACCTGAAACCATTACCCAACATTAACTGCCTTTAATAACTACCTTTACCATGAACTACTGTTAACTCCCAGCACCTGAAACCATTACCCAAAACTAACTACATTTAACTACTGTCACCATGAACTGCCGTTAACTCCGAGCACCTGAAACCATACCCAACATTAACTGCCTTTAACTACCGTCAGCATGAACTGCCGTTAACTCCCAGCACCTGAAACCATTACCCAACATTAACTACCTTTAAGTACCGTCACCAAGAACTACTGTTAACTCCGAGCACATGAAACCATTACCCAACATTAACTACATTTAACTACTGTCACCATGAACTGCCGTTAACTCCCAGCACCTGAAACCATTAACCAACACTAACTACCTTTAACTACCTTCACCATGAACTGCCGTTAACTCCCAGCACTTGAAACCATTACCCAACATTAACTACATTTAACTACCTTTACCAAGAACTGCCGTTAACTCCCAGCACCTGAAACCATTACCCAACATTAACTACCTTTAACTACCGTCAGCATTAACTGCCGTTAACTCCCAGCACCTGAAACCATTACCCAACATTAACTACCTTTAAGTACCGTCACCAAGAACTGCCGTTAACTCCCAGCACCTGAAACCATTACCCAACATTAACTACCTTTAACTACCGTCAGCATGAACTGCCGTTAACTCCCAGCACCTGAAACCATTACCCAACATTAACTACCTTTAAGTACCGTCACCAAGAACTACTGTTAACTCCCAGCACATGAAACCATTACCCAACATTAACTACATTTAACTACTGTCACCATGAACTGCCGTTAACTCCCAGCACCTGAAACCATTACCCAACATTAACTACATTTAACTACTGTCACCATGAACTACTGTTAACTCCCAGCACCTGAAACCATTACCCAACATTAACTACCTTTAACTACTGTCACCATGAACTGCCGTTAACTCCCAGCACCTGAAACCATTACCCAACATTAACTGCCTTTAATAACTACTGTCACCTTGAACTGCCGTTAACTCCCAGCACCTGAAACCATTACCCAACATTAACTGACTTTAATAACTACCTTTACCATGAACTACTGTTAACTCCCAGCACCTGAAACCATTACCTAACACTAACTGCCTTTAACTCCCGTCACCATAAACTGCCTTAACTCCCAGCACCTGAAACCATTAACCAACACTAACTACCTTTAATAACTACCGTTACCATGAACTACTGTTAACTCCCAGCACCTGAAACCATTACCCAACTCTAACTACATTTAACTACTGTCACCATGAACTGCCGTTAACTCCCAGCACTTGAAACCATTACCCAGCATTAACTACATTTAACTACTGTCACCATGAACTACTGTTAACTCCCAGCACCTGAAACCATTAAACAGCATTAACTGCCTTTAATAACTACCGTTACCATGAACTACTGTTAACTCCCAGCACCTGAAACCATTAACCAACACTAACTACCTTTAATAACTACAGTTACCATGAACTACTGTTAACTCCCAGCACCTGAAATCATTAACCAACACTAACACTTTAACTGTCACCATGAACTGCCGTTAACTCCCAGCACTTGAAACCATTACCCACATTAACTACATTTAACTACTGTCACCATGAACTGCTGTTAACTCCCAGCACCTGAAACCATTAACCAACATTAACTACCTTTAACTACCTTTACCATGAACTGCCGTTAACTCCCAGCACTTGAAACCATTACCCAACATTAACTACATTTAACTACTGTCACCATGAACTGCTGTTAACTCCCAGCACCTGAAACCATTAACCAACATTAACTACCTTTAACTACCTTTACCATGAACTGCCGTTAACTCCCAGCACCTGAAACCATTACCCAACATTAACTACCTTTAAGTACTGTCACCAAGAACTACTGTTAACTCCCAGCACCTGAAACCATTACCCAACATTAACTACATTTAACTACTGTTCCAATGAACTGCCGTTAACTCCCAGCACCTGAAACCATTACCCAACATTAACTACATTTAACTACTGTCACCATGAACTGCCGTTAACTCCCAGCACCTGAAACCATTACCCAACATTAACTGCCTTTAAGTACCGTCACCATGAGCTGCCCTTAATTCCCAGCACCTGAAACCATTACCCAAAACTAACTGCCTTTAATAACTACCTTTACCATGAACTGCCGTTAACTCCCAGCACCTGAAACCATTACCCAACATTAACTGCCTTTAATAACTACCTTTACCATGAACTACTGTTAACTCCCAGCACCTGAAACCATTAACCAGCATTAACTGCCTTTAATAACTACCTTTACCATGAACTACTGTTAATTCCCAGCACCTGAAACCATTACCCAAAACTAACTACATTTAACTACTGTCACCATGAACTGCCGTTAACTCCCAGCACCTGAAACCATACCCAACATTAACTACCTTTAACTACCGTCAGCATTAACTGCCGTTAACTCCCAGCACATGAAACCATTACCCAACATTAACTACCTTTAAGTGCCGTCACCATGAACTGCCGTTAACTCCCAGCACCTGAAACCATTACCCAACTTAACTACCTTTAACTACCGTCAGCATTACCTCATTTAACTCCCAGCACCTGAAACCATTACCAACATTAACTACCTTTAAGTACCGTCACCAAGAACTGCCGTTAACTCCCAGCACCTGAAACCATTACCCAACACTAACTGCCTTTAACTCCCGTCACCATAAACTGCCTTAACTCCCAGCACCTGAAACCATTAACAACACTAACTACCTTTAATAACTACCGTTACCGAACTACTGTTAACTCCCAGCACCTGAACCATTACCCAACTCTAACTACATTTAACTACTGTCACCATGAACTGCCGTTAACTCCCAGCACTTGAAACCATTACCCAGCATTAACTACATTTAACTACTGTCACCATGAACTACTGTTACTCCCAGCACCTGAAACCATTAAACAGCATTAACTGCCTTTAATAACTACCGTTACCATGAACTACTGTTAACTCCCAGCACCTGAAACCATTAACCAACACTAACTACCTTTAATAACTACAGTTACCATGAACTACTGTTAACTCCCAGCGCCTGAAACCATTAACCAGCATTAACTGCCTTTAATAACTACCTTTACCATGAACTACTGTTAATTCCCAGCACCTGAAACCATTACCCAAAACTAACTACATTTAACTACTGTCACCATGAACTGCCGTTAACTCCCAGCACCTGAAACCAT